TGTGTGTGTCTGTGTGTGTGTGTCTGTGTGTCTGTGGACGTGTGAGCGGCCAGGCGAGAAGCCCAGGCCCGGTGACGCACCAGTGCAGCCGCGCGTCATGGGCTCCCAGGTGCCATCGGCCCGGCAGGCAAGGACAATGTTCCCGTGGAAGCCCGGGTCGCACTTGCCGACCGCGGTCTCCAGCGAGTCTGTCGCCTCGAAGGCGATGTGCCGCTCGCGGTGGTCGAAGGCCGGGCAGCGATTGCCTGGGGCCGGAAAGGGGGGGGAGGGGGCGGGGGAGGCCCCGGCCAGTCGTGTTGTCATTGGGGTCAGTCAGTGGGCTGGCGCTGGCGCTGGCGCGCGTAGCCGGATGGGGCCGCCTGTGCCCGGGGCGCATGTGTGGTCACAGGAGGCCCGGGGGGCCGGGGGGAAGGAAGCCACGCACGGATGCAGACCCCCTGGTGCTCGGTGAAGTGCGGCAGGCATTCGCACTCGTGCGACTCGGCCCCGCAAACCATGTTCTCATCGCGGCACACATCCCCGCGCATCAGAACGGCCGGCGTGCGGAAGTAGGTCATAGGGCCGTAGAAGTTCGGACACCGGACAAAGAACTGCTCGCCGGCGATGGGGCCGCGGGCGGGGCATTAGCACGCGGCTGTGGGGAATGACGCCCGGCCAGTGGCAGGGGGAAGATGTAGCCGCCCGGGCGGGCCCGACGCACCTTGCACTCGCCGGCCGAGTGGCAAAAGTCCGCCGGCAAGGTCAGGTTGTGGTATTTCGGCGTGATGTCGGGGTTGGCCTCGTCCGAGGCATTGCAGGAGGACGGCTCGTCCGTGGGTCTGGCCGGCGCCGGGCGCGCGAAGGCGCCCATCCGTGGAGCATGCCCAAGCGACGGGTGTCAGGGGGCGGGGCAGGCAGGCCGGCGAGCGACTGGTGCAGCCAGGGCGAGCGAGAAAGATACCGAGCGGCAAGGGGAGGTCAAGGTGCGGCGCACTTGTAGTCCGTGTGGAGGAAGCAGTTGAGCCCGTCGGAGTTGGACCGCAGGACCACCTGGATGGCTGGGTCCATGCACACGCGCACCGGCGGCGGCCCATCATCAAAAGCATCCAGCTGCGGCGAGGGAACCGGCGGCGGGGAGCGGGGCGGCGGGGGGGGGTGAAAGATCCCGGAACGGGGGTCAGCACGCCCGGCGGGCGGTCAGCGGGGGGGATGTCCCGTCGCGGGGCGCGGCGGCCGGCCTGCTGTCGCCACTTCCCGGATGCATACCTTCAGGGTGATGTTGAGCAGGAGGTTGTTGAAGTCGTCCAGGATGTAGTGTTCGTTTTTGTCGGATGCACAGGACACCAGGTCGTAGGGCATGGGTCGCAGCGCCGACCGCGCGGTCTGCAGGAGCACGACCAGCAGCAGGCACCCGAGCGCCGCCCGCGATGGAGGGCCGCTGCAGCCGGACGTCATGGCCGCGGGAAAAGGGAGGGGGGGGGGCAGGCACAGAGGTCGGGCCGGGGCAGGGCGGTGAAAGGGGGAGTGTGCGACAAGGAAGACCCCCGGCCGGGGAGGTGACGCCAGCGCACAAGGTCAAGGGGCGAAAAAAAGCGGGGATGGGCAGCAAAGTGGGCTGGGCGAAAGTCGGGGGAGGGAGTGTGGGTGGAGACGGCGAGCCGGGTGCGCGCCGGGCGGACCCTGCCCACAATTGAATCGATTGTGGGCCGGCGCACCTCACGACCGCCGCCATGTGGCAGGCCCGGCCGCCGGGTCCGTCAGTCGCCCGGTGTCCTGGGTGTCCCCCCCCCGCCCCCCCCCCCCCATGCGTCATAAACACCCCCCACCAGATGTGTCCTTATTTGTGGGTACGACATCCGGCCGGGGCCGCCGCACACGATCCGGACGTGGCAGGCGTCCATGCGCCGCCCGCTCCCCTTGTCCTCCGGCCCCAAGCGCGCTGCCAGCCGGGACCTTCGCAACGGTCTAGCCCGGTCGTGGGCCAGGAGCGTATGTGCCAATGCAGGCCCTGGGCCGAGGGGGGGGGCCTGCCCAGCGGCGGGGCCCTCGGCGTCGGGGCCGACACATGCGAGCGGACATGCGCTCCCTCGGCGCGCCGGCGCCACATGTGTCATCCTCGCCCGGGGCTGCCTTGGGCCCGGGAGCCGGCGGCAGGCGAAGCCCCGCGAGCATCGGCAGCGGCCGAGCGCACGGCCAGCCGGCCGGATGGCAGGTGGTGCCACGCGCGACCAGGCGACCCCCCCCCCCCCCGCCGGCCCCCGCGAGGTGCGTGCGCGCGCGCGCGCGCGCCCAAGGAGCCAAGACCAGGGGGGCTCCTGCCCCCGCCGGCCCGGGGGGGGGGGGCCGCGGGGCGGGACGCGCCGGCGACCGAGGGCGGCCGAGGCACGCGCGCCCCGTCGCATCATTAATTTCCGCCAAGATCCCCGGGCGCCCTTGGCGCCGGGGGGCGGGGTGCCGCCTGGCGGGCCGGCGCCGGCGTCGACCCTCAGGCACTGGCGGTCCGGATGCGTCACTCCGCGTGGCCGACGGTCCTGGCCCGGGGGTCCGGGCATTGGGCATCCCCCCAGGTGGGTGTCGCGCGCGTCACGGCGCCGTCTGGATTGTGCGCAGCTCGGTGCGCCGGCGGGAGGGGGGGGGGGCAGGGGGCGAGCGCGGTGCGTGCCCCCACGATCTCCCATGGTGGGCCTTGCGGCGCCGGGCGCACCAAATGACTCGCCGGCCGGCCAGCGCCAGCGAGCCTCGACGCCACGGACGGGGAGGGCATCGCCCCCGGCGACCGGGCCCGGCCCGGGTGCGCGGAAGCCGCATGCTCCCGGGCCCGCCACTCGCCCCGGCCCCCCCCCCCCCCCCTGCCTGTGGATTGGTGTCGACCGCCTCTGCCTCTCCCGATCCGGGGAGCGCGCGCACGCACGGGCCCGGGGCGGAGGTGCCGGTGAGTGGAAAAAAAAGGCCCGGCACACATAATGTCTTCTCTCATATATTTCAAAATTATATGGCCCGCCGTGAGATGGGCGGCTGAAGCCCGCACACGCTCTTGCCCCACCGCCCATACGCAGTCGCCCCCTCGGCCCCGGCGGGGCCCCCGGGCAGGCTACTGGGGGGGGGCGGGCGGGCAGAGAGCGAGAGAGAGCGAGGCCTGGAGGGGAAAGGGGACAGGGCGGCTGGGGATGTATAGATGCAAGGACAGCCCGTGCGATGGAGGGGGGGGGGGCGCAGCCCGGGGGCGCGGGGCAAGTGACGGAGGCATGCGCAGGTAGCGTGGCCCCACGCCCGGGCGCCTCCCTCTCGGTGCCTCGGAGACCGGCGATGAGCAGACACGCCGTGGTCCGGGACGACGGCCGGGCGGCAGCTGGCTCCTCTAATGGACGTGACCATGGAGCTCTTGATGATAGGACTGGGGAATGGTGCGCTTGCGCGCTAGCTTGTAGGAGGGCCGCGGGGCGGGCATGGGCGGCACGCAGAAGGAAAAGGGCCTCGCCCGGCATCTGGCGAGGAGGGCGGCTCACACAGGGCAATCGGGGCTCACACCCCGGGCGGGAGTGTGCGGCAGGACCGGAGCAGCTGGACAGGAGCCCTGCGTCGGGGCCCGGGGGGCCGGAGGCCGAGCATGCGATCTCGCATCCGCCCGATCGGCCCCTCCCGCCCCGATCATCCTCTCTCTCTCTCTCGCGCTCTCTCTTTGCCTCTCTTTCGCGCGGCTCCTCTCCTGGCGCGCCCGTCTATATATATATATGGATAAGTGGGGGGCGTGATGGGGAAAAGGAGCCGCGCCGAGGATTAACAAGCCCCGCCCCGGCGCCTCGCTCCCACACCCACACCACCGGCGGGTGGAGAGTGGGGCGCCGACAAGCGGGCCGAGAGCAGGGGGGGGGACCGCAGGGCAGCGCGTGGGAGCGGAGAAGACGGCGGGCCGTCCCCCCCCCCCCCGACCGGGAGAGAAATCCAAGCCATGCCCGCCGGCCTGAGGGGGGGGGGGTGGGGGAACTCACGTGTGACAGTTTCCACCGCCATCCCCCGGGCGACTGGCCGCCATCAGGGGAAAGGCCCCGAAAGCGCGGGCACGGGTGCATGCTCTTTGTCTATGTGCGCGTGTGTGTGGGAATGCACGGGCATTTGCGAGTGTTAGGGCCGGGCAAATGCATGTGTCGCGGTGCCCGCAGGCATGGGGGGAGCACACAGAAGGGCGGCGGCGGGGGCAGGTTTGACTGGTTGCATGGTGACCCGCCACACCCCGTGACTCGGCCCCCCTCGCCGTGCGATGCGCCGCAATATGGCCGAGACTCGGGGGGGGGGCCCTTCGCGCCGGAGGGGGAGCCGCCGTGCCTTGCTCGCCTGCGCCTGCCCGGTCCCTCCTCGTCCTGCTCCCGACCAGCCCGCGCCCCTGAGAGTATGGGTGCGCGGTGTGCCCCCGGCTGGGCCGAGGCGAGCCAGTTGGGGGCCCACAACGCAACCATGGCTCCCTCACTCCCGTGACATGCGCATGCGCGCACAGGCCTCCACGTCTTAGTGCGCACACCCTGCGCCACGCGCATATGGGGAAGCAGAGACCGAGAGAGGGAGGCAAGGAGAGAGCGAGGATGGGGCGTACACAATCAGGCACTTTGGCCCTGACTTGCAGACCATAGGGGGGCGGGGGGGGAGGGGCATATGCGCACCGTTCCCGCCCTCGTAGCGCAGCCCCGGTGGCCTGTTGCGTCGCGGCGAGAACGAGAACGAGAACGGGCCCGGAGAAGAGTGAGCGAGCGGCGACACATGGTTCGCGGAGCGCGGCCACTGGGGGGTCGGTCCCCCTCGCCCCCTCGACTGCTGCTCTCGTGTGAGCAGGGCGAGGCGAGGGGCGCGGCAGGGCCACACAGCCCGTCTATCTGCCGATCACACCGACAGCCACGCGCCCACATTCTCCTTCTCCCCGGTCCTCCGCCCGCACTTGAGAGGCCCCACGGGGGGGGGGGGGGGACAGGACGGGGCCTGCTTCTCCAGGAAAAGCCCACAACCTGCAGGACGCGCGCTGGCGAGTGCCACCGGATGCACGCGGGCGACCCCCTTCTGGGTGTGTCGGTCGCCCCCCTTGCGGCCTTCCCCCCCCCCGCCCTCTTCGTCGGTGGTGACCACACGGCGAGGGCCTGCGCCTGCGCAGGCACAGCACGCCAGCACAAAGCTCCGGAAGGGGCCGGACGGGGGGGGGGGGGGGGGGGAGCGCGATCGACTGGGCGGCGGCGGTGGCGACGACGGCCCAGAGAGCGGCGCAACTACCACTGCTCGGCTGCATGGACGCGCGTGCGCGCACGTGTGCGGTAACTCAGTCAGTTAAACGGGCGACTGAGGGGTAAGCCGCGGGGGGGGAGGGCGAGCGCGAACGCGAGCGACGCGGGCAAGGTGGCCGGGCGGCCCTCGCACCAGGGAAATGCCCCTCCACCGGGTGTCCCCCCCCGCCCTCGAGGCCGAAGAGGTAGTGATGGAAGGCCGGGTCGTGAGCCCCGTCATCATCGGCGCCGGGGGCCCGGCTGACGCCGGCGTCAAGAAGACCCCCGCCACCGAGGAAGTCCGCCACGGCGGCCACACCTCCGCCGGGGGTGCCGGGCTGCCGGGGCACCGGCGTGAGGCCCTCAAGGGCGCCGGAGCTCTTGGCTGCCGGCCCGGCATCCATCGGGCAGCCTCCGGTCCGGTGAACGGCCACTCCCTGTTGCTGGTGGGGGTGGGGGTGCTGGCGCAGGGGGGCATCTGCCGCCTGGTGGGAATAGGCACAGGGTGGGGCCCGGGCAAGGTGGCGGCCATCGGCGGCCGGCTGCTGGGCCACGTGCGCCGGCGGGTGCCGAAGTTGCCGGGGCTGCTGCTGCTGCTGCATGCGCTGCTGAGCTGGCTGAGGGGCGCACTCTTCGGTGGTGGCATCACCGGCGTCGGCGCCCGTGCCAAGGTGGGCACTTGCCCCTCCCGAGCCGGGGCGCAGCTGAAGGGCGTCGGGGCCATGCGGCGAGGCGGCGTGCGCCCCGGTAGGCGGGGTCCCGGCACGGTGCGAAGCACTGGGCGCCGTGTGGAAGTCCCCTCCGCCGGCTGGCGTGTCGGCCCCATAGCCGGGCGAGTGGTGTGACGGGCGGTGCGGCGGGTGCAGGAGGCGGGAGTGCGAGTGCCCGCCCAGCAGCAGGGACCCGGCGCCATTGGCCAGGCCTAGGCCGGGGTCCGTGGCGCCGGCCATGCCGGGCCCCGGCCCGCCGACAAACGACGGCAGGTAGGTCCCGGGATCGGCATCGGCCGCGGCCGAGCCAGCATCAAGGACGAAGGCGTAGTGTGCGGCCGGCCGGCCGGCCGCGCTCGAGGGCAGGCAGCGCTCCAGGCCCCCGGGGACATGGTCATTGGCCGACGCGGTGTCGTGGCCTGGATGGTGCATGGCCACGCGCCCACACGCACATGCGCACACCCCCCATCCCCCAAGGCAGCAGGTCGGGTTGGAGACAGGGGTTAGGCTCCACGGCGGACGGGCTAGAAGGATCAGGAGCGGGGGGGGGGGGGGGGGGGGGGGGGGACGAGGCGGGGGCCCGCTCAAAAACAGGAGCCCCCCCATGCCGGGCGGGGGCGGCAACGCACCAGATGCCGGGGCAGCAGCACTGGTGGTGGCCGAGGAGGCGGAGGCGCCGCCGGAGGCGGAGGCCGAAGGGGTGATCGGCGGAGACGAGGACGCGGTGGCCGCCGGGTCGCCCGCACTCGGCAGGCAGCCCCCCTCGTCATCGGGCCCGGCGCCGCCGCCCATGAAGAAGAAGGCGTCGCCGGCCATCCAGCTCCGGTCGTCCGGCCCGGCCAGCCCACCGGACAGGTGCTCCTCGCCGAGGGGGCTGCCGCCGGGGCCCCCCCCGTTGCCGGCCACCGACCCGAGCATCTGGCACCGGGGGGGGTGCTCCTCGACCGGGGTCGCGGCGTTGCTGGCCGAGTGGTGGGCCATCATGCCGGCGGTGTGGGGGTGGCCCGGCGGCGGCGGCGGCATGCCGGCCGGCCGGCCGCCGACATGCGGCGCGCCCCCCGCCACACCGTGTCCCAGGGATCCCCCATGGTCGCCGGGGCCTTCTCCCCACACGGCCGACTCCGGCCCGACCAAGGTGGCCGACAGGCCGGCATGGCCACGATGGTGGAAGTCCCCCGCCAGCCCGTCGAGGGCGAGGGCCAGCCCCGGCGCCGGGGGCCGGCCGGCGTCGGCACCCGGGGCCCCGGTGCTGACGAAGCCGCCTGCCCCCGTGCCAACGGCGTCGGCGCACTCCAGCCGGCCGGTCGGGCAGCTGGATGGCACATCGCTCGCACAGCCGGGCCCCACAGTGGCCATGCCCTCCAGCGGGGGGGTGTCGTCGCCGATGTCGGAGGAGGCCGGCGGCTGGGCCTGCTGCTGCTGCTGCTGCTGCTGCTGTTGCTGCTGCTGGGCGGCTTGCATCGGGGGCGGCAGGTCGCCGGGAGCCGCCGCCGCCGCCGCCGCCGCCGCCGCCGCCGCCGAGCCCGGGCCCTTGGCCATCACTGTCGGCCCGGGCCCGGCACTGACGGGGGTCAGGGCAAAGTGCGCGGCATGGCCGCCGGCGGTGCTCGGCCGCAGGGGGGCCGACACCCGCAGGATGGTGGTGCTGATTTCCTCCTCGCCCGGGCCGACCGGGAGGATGGTGCCTCCCGGGCCGACGGCGCCCCCGGCCGCTTGGATGATGGTGCTGTCGCTCTGGGGCGAGAGGATGTGCGTCGGGCAGCCGGCCAGCTCGGCCGGATGGTCGTGCCCGGGCCCGGTGGCGCCGGCGCCGACGGCCACCGGCTGAAGGAGGACCCCCTGCCCGGCCGAGCTGCCGGCAGCACCCGGCACCGACACCAGCAGGTGCGGCAGGAAGGGCGGCGTATGCAGCGACCCGCCCCCCTGATCGCCGGCCGACACCGGCGAGTGCTCCTCATTCGGCGAGGGGGTCACCAGCTCCAGGGCGCTGCTGAATTGCTCGCGACCGATGGCCGCACCCCCGACGAGCGGCGGCAAGTCCTTCCATGGCTGCTGCTGCTGGTGCTGCTGCTTGGCCCGGGCCCCGGTGGCTGCGGACGGGATCTCCGGCCTCGGTGGAGGTCTGGCCCGGTGGGCCAGCGGCTGCTGGAGGTGCCCGACGGCCGGCATGCCGGCCGCCAGGTGGCCGCCCGGCCCCAGCCCCTGCGCGGTCAGGAGCACATGGCCGTGCGGCGGGTGGTGCCCCGCCGCCGCCGCCGCCGCCGCCGCCGGGTGAAGCATCGGCCCCGGGCCCGGGAGGTGGTGCTGGTGCTGGAGGTAGTGCTGGCCATGGGCCTGGGCAGCGGGGTGTTGCGCGTGCGCGTGCGCGTGCGCGTGCCCCTGGCCATGTCCATGCGCATGGCTCGGGTGGATGTGCCCATGATGATGATGCGGCAGCCCGGCCCCCAGGCCGGCCAGGTGCAGTGACTGCTGCTCCAGCTCGCCCTCGCCCCCGACATGCGGCGTGGCCGTCGGCGTCGGGAAGCTGAAGAGGTCCCCGGGGCCGGGCCCGGGCCCGGCGCCCGGGGTCAGAGGGCTCAGCCGGTCGGACGAGGCGCTGGTCGAGAGAAGGCCACCGGCCAGCGGCAGGGCCAGGTGCCCGGGCACAAGCCCACCCCCATGTCGAGCTGCATACTCCTCGGCCGGGTGCCAGACGGCCGTGTCGGCGTTGGCCCGGTCCCCGAGCCCGGCCGGCCCGCCGGCCGCCGGGGCATCCAGGTAGAAGAAGTCCCCGGGGCCGGCTTGGTGGTCGGCCGCCGGGTCGTAGGAACTGCCGCTGGCCTGCGGCTGGTGGTGCTGTTGAACGGCCGAGGCGCTGAGGCCCGGGTGACCGCCGAAGTCCCCGGCGTCGGCAGCATAGCCCTGATGCGGCTGCAGCTGGTGCTGCTGCTGCTGCTGCTGCTGCTGCTGCTGCTGCTGCTGCTGGGCCTGGAGGTGCTGGTGCTCCGGCGCGCGGATGTGGTACATGCGTTGTGGCGGGGCGTCTGCCTCGGCCGTGGTCAAGACATCCGCCGGGCCGCCAGACAAGAAGCCGGTATCTCCGAAGGAGACGGCCTCCTCACCGGCATGCAGGTGGCCCGAGTACTGAAGCCCCGGGTGGTGCACAGGCTGTCCCTGCTGCGACTGCTGCTGCGACTGCTGTTGTTGCTGGTGCTGCTGCTGCTGCTGCTGCGGCGGCGGCGGCGGCGGCGGCTGCTGGTGGTGATGGTGGTGGTGATGGTGGTGCTCTCGCTGCTGCGGCTGCTGGGACCGAGCAGCAGCATGACCGCCGTTGGACAACCCGGGCCCCGGGCCGTTGGCGAAGGCCCCGGCGTAAGAGTGGCCCGGGTGTGAGGGGAGAAGCTGCTGCGGCTGCGGCTGCGGCTGCGGCTGCGGCTGCGGCTGCTGCGGCTGCTGCGGGAAGCCCAAGGACGCGCTGCCGGAGCCGGCGGCCATGGACGCGGCCACCGTGGATGTGGAGGACGCGGCGGCCGCCGCGGCCGCGGCCGCCGCCGCCGCAGCCATGCCGATCCCCGGCAGCGAGCCAATGTACTTGTTCAAGGACCCCAGGTACGAGGAGGACAAGTGGTTGAGGTAGCTGCCGGCCGGGCCGCCGGCCGGGCCGCCGGGGCCCACCGAGCCGGCCGGGCCGCCCCCGGCCCCGGGCCCGGCCCCCACCTCGGCCAGCTTGCCCAGGGTGTGGCTGCTGTACATGTCGGCCAGGGCCGCCAGGCCGGAGTTGGTGGACAGGAACCCGGCCCCGACATGCGGCACGCCGCCGGCCCCGCGTGCACACGACAGGATGGCATTGTTGGAAATAATTTGGGCGGAGGAGGCCCGCCGGCGCTTCTTGATGGTGTTCTGCCGCATGGTGACCGGCCGGTCGCAGCCCTTCAGCCGCCGGTACAAGCCGCACGCATTGCAAATGTACCTCCCTTGGCCATCGCGCCGCCAGAGGGAGGTCACCGAGGTGTTGCAGTTGTGGCAGCTGCGCTCGGCCTTCGGCGTGTCGCGCATGGAGCCGCCGTGCGCCGGACCGGTGGCCGCCAAGCCGCCGGGCCCGGGGTCCCCGTCGTCGGGATTACCGGCCAGCTGGCCGCCGCCGGCGGCCACGCCCAGGCCGGCCATTTCGTCGTCCATATGTCCGCCCCCGACCAGGGCCCCATCGGCGTAGGCCACGTTGGCCATGCTGTAGACACTGGAGCCTGGGGGTCATGCCAACAGCGGGTCAGTGGGCCGTGTGCGGCCACGGGCATGCATGTGCATGCGCAGGTGGCGGTGGGATCTCTGGCCCGGCGGACCACGGGTCCGCCCCGGCCCCCGGTCCTGCGGGCTAATGCCCCGACAGCCGGCTCCAGGGGCGGGCGCGCGTGCGTGCGGGCGTGCGTGCGGGTGGGCGGGCATACATGCGTGTGCGTGTGCGTGTGTGTGTGTGTGTGTGTACATGTGCGTACGCGCATATGTGTGTGGGGGGGGTGGGCGGGCAGAAGTGGGAGCTGGCAAACGCACTGGGGGTTCCGCTCGCCCCGGGGTCAATCGGCCGCCAGACTTGCAGCTGGTTTGGGGCCTCCTCTTTCATGGAGAAGGCGTCGGCCATGGCCATGGTTCAGGCGGGGGAAGGGCAGGAAGGGGTATTGGCTGGTGGTGACACCGAGGCAAGGCGCGTGTGCGGTCGCGCGCGGGCCGGTGCAAGAACGCGCTCAGAGCCTGGGGCAGTGGCGGCCACCCGGCCGTGGCGGACCCCCCGCAGGATGCCGGCGGCCAGTGTGTGTTAGGGCATGGCGCGGAGGCGGCGTGGGATCGTGCGGGCACGCCAGGTGCTCGGATGTGTGTGCGCGCGCGTGTGTGCGTGCGTGTGTGTGTGTGTGCGTGTGTGTGTGTGCGTGTCTCTGTGCCCTGTGGCACGTACTCTGTGCGGCAGGCGGGCTAGGGGAAGAGGCCGGTGGGGGGGATGGCGGTGATCGGGCAAGGCAGGCGATGGGCCAGCTTCGAGCCTGTCGGTCCGTGGCTTGGGCACTGGGGCTGCGTGTGGCCGGCGGCAGCGGGGCATGGCAGGGGGCGATGGTGAGTTGCTCTCTGGATGGGCTGGGGC